AACAACAACAACAACAACAAGCTAATGACAAAACCAAACCAAACAAAAAAGACAAGCTTGTAGTTAGTTCAAAGACTGTTTGTTTGCCTTTAGGAGTGTTTTCTGGTCGAGTCTGATGGGGTGCCAAGCCCTGGCCCCAAAGTCTATTTTTGGTGTTCCCTGGGGACTTCATTACTCTGTTTCTCTGCCCTTAGTGTTTTGCCTCGGTGTGGTGGGATTAGATTGGGTGCAATTCCCACACTGTGTCTCCAGTGTTGTCCCCTGTAGGGCTATGAGTCAATGAGGGATGTTGTGTCTCAAAGTGGAGCTGGCCATATGGTCTTGTCTGTGGATTGCCTGCTCTGAGCAGGAATATCATCGTCAAGGCTTGGTGGGCCAGGATGTGCTCCACTCTCTCTTCCTCCCCCTTCATTTGCTCCTGTGTGTAAAACTAACAGTATTTTTCTCATTTCCTAATTCCAATTCTTTAGCCATATGTAACCAAATAAAATATGTGGAATGAATATTCTTATTTTCTTCATAAGCAAATAGTTGTAGGAACTTAGAAAAAAGTACTAACAGAAGTAATAAAGATTTGGGTTCAGAATTTAGGATTAATATGCAATATTACTACCCTGTGTCTGCCAGCTTGTCATACTGTAATAGCTTGTGTGTTCTTATTATACTGGGTGCTATGTCACAGGTATTTCAGTTCACCCAAGGTGACTGAACAGGCTTCAGTGGAGCTTTGAGACTAAGCACAACTATGAAGAAGGAATAGGCTGTCCATTTTTGAGAAATTAGCCACTGGAAACCTCACAAATAGCACTGCGACATTTTCAGATATAGTGCCAGAAGATGAATCCCTCACATCAGAAGGTACTCAAAATAAAACTGTAGAAGAACTACCTTCTCAAAGTAGAGTTACCCATAATGATGTCGCTGAAGCAAAACTTTCAGGATGACTTCATTTGCTAAGAAGGTGCAACTAAAAATGAAAAAGAAACAGCTGCAAATATCTACTAAGAATTGGAACAGGAAATGTATGAAATTTAAATCTAGGAAAATTGAAAGTTCTCAAAATGAAATGAAACACATAAAAATCCATAGCCTAGGCATTAGTGAGCTGAAATGGACAGGTATTGGCCATTTTGAACCATACAATCAGATGGTTTACCCTGCTGGGAATGACAATTTCAAGAGGAATTGTTTTAGAAAGAGGCTGACAAAAAGAATATTTCAAGATATACCTTAAAATCCAATGCTGCCAGTGATAGGATAATAGCCATCCAGCTAATACAATTTTTATTCAGATTTACATACCAACCACTAGAATAAATTATAAAGAAATTGAAGAATTCTACTAATGGCTTCAGTCTGAAATTGATCAAACATGCCATCGATATGCATTTATAATTATTGCCTGCTGGAATGCAAAGCTTGGAAGCAAAGAGAAAGGAACGGTAGTTCGGAAAATACAACCAGGTAATAGAAATGAAACTGGATATAGGATAATATAATTTTGTGTGACCAACAACTTCTTCATTGCAAATACCCCTTTGAAGCAACATACGTGGTGCCTATTATGAACCTTGCCAAATGGAATGCTCAGGAATTTGCTTGACTGTATCTTCGTGAAGGGATAACAGAGAAGCTCAATATCAGCAATCAAAAGGAGATCAGGGGTGGACTGTAAACTAGACCATCAATTATGCATATATAAGTCCAGGTTGAAGTTGGATTAAAATTAATACAAGTCCACAAAAGTAAAAATGCAACCTTGAGTGTATCCCACCTGAATTTTGAGAACATTCAAGAATGTTTGCCATGCATTTCCTCTCACTGGACCTCCTAATCTGATCCCTTTCAAAGCAGTTAATAATGATAGTTGGACATGAAGACTGATTATCATGTGACCCATTAGGTCATTGAACTATTTCCCTATAGGGTCACTAAGGGTCAGCATCAACTCAATAGCAGTGACTTTGGTTTTGGTACTAGTTGGATACAGAAAGGTGTAACTCAAGCCTATGGCCCTTAGTCATCCTTCAAGTCTGGAAATGAACTCACTTTCATGGCTCATTTTACAACCAAACAATAGACAAGTCTATAGGGGATCAATAACAAAGTGAGATACACTCATCTTAGAATTATCACCCATCAGAGATTTAAAAAGCATCATTTGCCCAATAATGAACTGCAGAAGGAGAGAAGGACAAAGGAGACACAGGAAATGGCCTAAGAGATGTTACATCGTGGGGATTGCATTCAGTGATATGAAACATTTAAGTGTATAAATTGTTCAGTGAAAAACTAGTCTGCTTTATAATATTTCACCCAAATCACAATGAGAAGTTAAGGGTATAATAGCGAGGTTTCTCTAGAGAAACAAAACCAGAAGACATATGATTATATATATATGAAAGGATAGACTTACACAGCAAGAAGGCATATAATGCCTAATTTAGTCCGCACAGCAGTACAGAAGGTTCAGATCAACTAACTTTCATGGAACAGTTAATATACTGAAGGTCCTTCAACTCCTGTGGAATGTGGTCCAAGATGAAGGAAGCAGACAGCGGAGTCAGCCCTCAGGCACATCTGCCTTCAGGCAGAGTTGGTCTGCAGGCAGCAGACAGCATGGTGGGGCAACAATAGTCATAGCTTGGGAGCTTAGTGAAGTAGGCCCTAATGGGATCTCAACTTAAGTGATATACCGCATGGAACAGGAATCATAGCCTTGAGCTCAAGCGATGGACTCACTAGCAGCTCAGCAAAGCAGGTCTCAAAGGAGCCTCAATCTCTAGCTCCACAATTCATGGGTTGGCTCAGCCTACAGGTAGTGCAGCACATGGTTGTGGCAAAGAGCTAGCTGAAGCAGCAGCATGCTGGTCTGATCACCAGGGAGGAAGAGAAAAGGGATGTTAACCATGAAAAGTATTTATCTTGGTTGCCCTCCAATCAAGCTGTGACCTGATTAAACTCCGCCCACATGTTCCTGTGGTGGCCAACTTGGCACAATAAACCTAATTATCACAAAGGGGAAATCACCTTTACTAATTTTTTCAGTGCTTATTTTACTGTTTTCAAGTGGGCCCTATTCTCACAGTCGAGGATCTGATAATCCTGGATTATAGCATAGTAGGGTTCCTTTGAAGGAAAAATTCAGTAGCAGAATTCTCACCTTCCATAAAAAAGACTCAGGTTCAATTTCTGGACAGTGCACCTCATGCACAGAATTTTGTTCTGTTGTGCATGGATTTGTTATTGTTGCACATTGCAATAGAGTTCTGGGGGAAAAGTATCCCAGGCTTCAGTGGTCTCATGCCTGCTAAGATATTTTAGACATCCAATTTTTTAAAGACTCATAAATGATAAACATTAGGTTTTTAAATACATTTAAAGCAATGCGTTTTGACATGGTAACATGACTCAGGCAATGGGAACATTTTGACACATTCATGAAACAATCCTATGAACATTTCTCTTTGGGATTTTTTCCATTTCTTCTCTCTACCTTTCCTCTACTTCCTCCATCTCATCACTTCCTCTTTCCTTCATTTTAATATAATATATTTAGCAGGTGCTTCTAATTCCACCTCTGATGTTTGGAATGAGAGTGAGAGATTGGATACGTGACAGGCTTTGAGGGAGTGGTAGGTGCTGTTGAGTGGGAGGGGCTCATCTTAAGGCTGCTTTTGCATAGGAAGCAACTCATTTTGCTTAGGTTTTATGCTTGTAGGCTCTTCAGGTGGGGGATTCGTAGAGATGATGCCAAGCCTGGCCTTCAAATGCTGTTTACAGCGTGATCCAGTACACAAAAGTTGACAATTTAGAAGTTTGTTGCCTGGATCATGAAATATGTGTGTCACAATGTTCTTGACATTTTACCTGCTATGTCAAAATGATATAAAAACTACCATTTACGATGATAAGAGGAGCCCTGGTAGTGTGGTTATGAGGTGGGCTGCTAACCCCAATGTCAGCACTGGAAGCCACTAGATGAAAGAAAGATGAGGCTTTCTATCCTGTAATGAGTTAGTCTTAGAAACGCACAAGGGCAGTTCTACCATATCCTGTAGGGTTGCTATGGGTCAGAATTGACTTGATGGTGGTGAGGTTGTTGTTTTTAAATGACAATGAGAAAGACAGTAGGTATACATTATTTTCCAAACTCTCTCTCTCTCTCTCTTTTTAAAAGCAGCTTCATCATTTACTATTGCAGCAAATGAGAAGCAAAATTGATTTAATCTCCCTTGCTTAACTTTTGGATTTTAAAATGATTGTAGAAGTGGTCATAAGATAACAAGAGAAAAAGCAAGAATACTCACCTTGTCCAAGCTGATCTCATCACTACCCAACTAAAACGTCTTTTCATGCTTCCTCCACTTTGCTTATGAAGTTTCCCTACACCCAGGACCTACTATCCTACTGTTCTTACTTCATCTGTGGAAATCCTTTGCATCAGCCACTCCAGCCTCACTAAATCCTCACCTCTCAGTTGTGATTTTGCCATCTTCTAGTGGGGGTCTTCTCATATGTACACACCAGGACTGTGTGACAGCATAGTAACATCGTTGGGGTCAAAGAGCTGTTCACTAATTTCTCTGTCTACGTGCTAGGTTTTCTTTGGAGTTCAGTGTATAAAACAAGCCTCGAAGGAATAGTCCCTTCCTAAGACACAAAAAAAGACAATGCTTTGTGAAAATATTCTTAATGTATAAGATTTACACATGGCAGGTGTTCTTTAAGATACATAAACTTGAAATCGTTTCAAATGGATTGCACTTTCTCAGACATATAATACCTCTGAAATTTTTAGAAGAATGAGGTTTTAGGTTAATTGATCTGCCAAGTAATCAAAACTTACTCAGGCTCTTACTGCATTAAAGAGAATTCACTAGAAAAGACTCCAACCAAATTATTTATTTTTAGAATATATGACCTTTTATTCTACCATGTCTTTTTAAAATTAATACTTTTATTGGGGGTTCTTACAGCTCTTATCACAATCCATATACTTTATCCATTGTGCCAAGCACATTCCTACATATGTTGCCATCATCATTTTCAAAACATTTTCTTTCTACTTGAGCCTTTGGTATCAGCTCATCCCCCCACCCCTTCCCCACCCCTTCCCTCATGAACTCTTGATAATTTATAATTTTTTTCATGTCTTACACCAAACACGGTCTCCCTTCACCCACTTTTCTGTTGTTTGTCCCCTTGGGAGGGGGTTATATGTCGATCATTGTAATCGGTTCCCCCTTTCTCCCCTCACCTTCCCCTAATGCTCCTGGTATCAATACTCTCATTATTGGTCCTGAGGTGTTTATCTGTCCTGGATTCCCTGTGTTTCGAGCTCTTATCTATACCAGTGTACATCCTCTGGTCTAGCTGGATTTGTAATGTAGAATTGAGGTATGATTGTGTGTGTGTGTGTGTGTGTGTGTGTGGCGGGAGCATTAAAGAACTAGAGGAAAGTTGTGTGTTTCATTGGTGCTATACTGCACCCTGTCTGGCTCATCTTTTCCTTGCTACCCTTCTGTAAGGGGATGTTCAATTGTCTACACATGGGCTTTGGGTCCCCACTCTGCCCTCCCCTCATTTACATTGTTATGACTTTTTGAAAAACAATGATTTAATAAGATGTTTGTTTGTGAAATGTCTGCTTGGCTCATGAAATTTACGCTAAATATTTTCTTGTCAGATATAAGTTTCTAAGTAAAGTAAAATGTAAAATAAAATTACATACACACTCATACATGGATATGAAGGACCTTCAAAAATATTGTGGAAAATGAAATTAATGATTATGGAAATTCTCAAAGAACTTTTTGAAGCATCCTTGTATATATGCATGTACAAGTGTGTGTGTGTGTGTGTGTGTGTGTGTGTGTGTGTGTAGAAATGGCTAATTTTTTAAAAGTAAATTTCCAGGTCTTTCTTACAAGCTGCTTATAGGTGGACTCAAACTGCCACCCTTTTTGTTCATAGCCAAGTGTTTTAACCAGTTGTATCACCCGGGAATGTAAAAGAAAGAAAAATCACCTTATAGCATATTCTCATATACTTGAATCTTTAATTACACCTGACACTGAAAACTACTAAGGTGTCCTGTATTTATAGAACACTAAGTACTTTCTAAGGCAACATCTACTGTAGCAATCTCACTGCCCTCGAGTCTATTCTCGTCATGACCCCTTGACGAAAGTGAACTGCCCCTGCGAGTTTCCAAGGTCATTAAGCCCTCAGAGTGCCACTTGGATTCCAACTGCTGCCCCTAGTGGTTAGTAGCCCAACTCACATCCTACTATTAAGCCCTCAGAGTGCCACTTGGATTCCAACTGCTGCCCCTAGTGGTTAGTAGCCCAACTCACATCCTACTACACCCCTAAGGCAGGACTTTAGTAATAGATGTACCTATCCCATACATATGATACTAATTTAAAGTGCCAAGGAATCAATTCTAGCAAAAACAGAGTCAATCTTATAGATATGCTATGTTAATCTGTTAATAAATTATACATTTAAGTTCTATTTTTATGTACATATCCTTTTTTCCCCTCTGTAGCATGCCATGGAACCCAATTATCTGCATATTTGGCCGAGAAATACCTTTATGATGATTGCACTTCCCAACATGGTAGTATGGCATTTGTTATCAACTATAATTCTGCCTCCATGTCAATTGTTTTCACATGTAGTATAGTTTACTCTTGTAGTTTGCTCAATTATTTACTCTTGCAGCGTTACACTAATAAATCTCTTTTAAAAATGATACATTAGGTGGGGATTCTTTATTTTTTAATTGACTGGAAATTTGGGATTACTGAGAAAAATGGGAGGAATTCTAATTATTTTCTTTGGAGAAAGATTTAACACACATAAATTAATAAAGAGAATTTTGTGTGGTGTTGCCTCACTCTGTCATCACCACTGAAAGAGTGTAGAAAGGAATGGCCACAGATATAACCAAAATTGTTTTGGTTATGTATTTAGAAGTACTTTTTGCCTTAAAGGTCTTTGGGACATGAGAATATACATGATCCAAAACAGAGTATGGCTGCTCTTTCATGAGACACTACGGGTTTTGTTATTATATATTTTTCTCTGATTGGTCTTTAAACATTTTTTTTAATCCTGCTAAGTGTTTTCCTGAAGCTTAGTGTCTATGAATACTGCTTTAATAGGAAACAGTGAAAAGAAAGGAGGAGAAATGAAATCAACCGACTCATTAGTGATCCATGAAATATCATTTTTATGTAGTCCATAAATAATTATCCGATAGTTCAGGAATTTTCTTAATTGTCAGGGAATAGCTTTGGGATCTTCAGGGAGCTGTTGGCTGTAAGAGGAGGGAAGACAGTGAGGGTACCTGTCCCATCTGGACAATCCTTTCAGGTGCATTTGGTTAAGCAGCACTGTTACTTAGGGGTTGACCTTCAGTGTTTGCATCACTCTCAGCCTCCACCCACTTTCTCTCACATAGTTTTGTTTCTCTTCACAGAACAAATCGTTCACGTGTACTTTGTTCATGCCATTTGAGGAGTTTGAAAAACTCCTAACCGGTAGTGATGTGCTGGACTTCTTCAAAACTTACTTTCCAGATTCCATCCCTCTAATTGGAGAGTAAGTGGCAAGATATGCGGCTGTGCCTTTGACTCCAAGTGGTTTGAGCTCATCAAAATCCAACTGAAGGCTATACAATTTATTTGCTTGTATTAAATGTGGCCAATCATGTGCAGACCTGAAATTAAAGGCTATATTGGAGCAAAAATATGACAGGATTTTATACCATCGCTGGAATTCTGAATAGCTCCAAGGTCATGGCCAACTTCTTGGGGAGAAACAAACTATCCTTACGTCTCCTGTACAGGATCCTCAGCTCTCTGAGCTCAGCGCGCCACAGTCTGACTGTGCTTCCTTCTATCGAAAATTAAATTTGTGGCAAAATGGAGACATTCAGAAGCTTCAGGTCTCAATTTCACCACTAGCTGTAGAAGCTTTTGTAAATCTCTGGTTTCTTACTTGATCAATAAAAGTAAATACTAGTGCCTTAGTGAGCCATGTGATTGGAGGCTAACTGCAAGGTAAGCCACTCAAAAACACCAGCTGTTCTGCGTGAGAAAGATGAGGCTGTCTGCTCCTATGAAAATATATCGGTTTGGAAACCCACAGGGTGAATTCTACTTATAATATCACTATGGCTGACTCCATGGCAGTGAGACCTCAAAGGGTGGAGTCCCTAAGTTTTGGAGACAGTTAACATGCTCAGCTGATCATTGAAAGAGCTCAGAAAAAGGGCTTGGAAGTTTATTTCTTTAAAAAAAAAATCAACCAATGAAAACCCTGTGGAGCACAGTTCTTCATTGGACACACTGAGATTTTTTGAATTGGAGGCATCTCCATGAAAACTGGAAACTTCAAAAGAATAGTATGAGGACTACATGAGATCATGCAAAAGAATCACTTTGCGTAAGACTTGACCCACCCAAATCCAAACTTAGAGCTATTGAGTTGATTCCAACAGCTGAATGTGTTACCCATTTGTACCACCTAGGGACTACTGCACATAGTAGGTCCTGTTTTAGACTGATACTCAACTACTCATTGCAACAACATTTTATTGAAAGAATGTTGAATCATTTTGAAATAGGGAGACATTACAGGGCACGCAAATTACAGAGAGGCTATTAGTTTTTCAAAGTAAACAAAGGTTAAAAGAACCCACATGTACTTGGGGGTACTTAGAGGAGGAGATCTAGTTATATGACAAATGTTATAAAGAGTCTGCTGTATTATCTTCAACATTGTCAATGAACTTAGCTAATGCATTCTGAAGTTAATACATTTCAAGAATTTTTAAAAATCATTTTATTGGGGGCTCTTACAATTCATGTTACAAACCATACATCAATTGTATCCGACATATTAGTACATATATTCCATAGTTCTTTTCTAGACATTTACTTTCCATTGAGCCCTTGGGATCAGCTCCTCTTTTTTTACCTCCCTCCTCCCCGCCCCCCATCCCTGGTGGCCTCTTGATAGATTGTAGATGGTTAATTATTTTCAACTCTCACACCAACCCGCTGTCTCCCTTCCCCTCTGGTTTCTGTTATCCTTACCCCTCCCTGACGGGGAGTGTATGGTTATGTGCCATTCATTGTGATTGGTGCCCCCCTCCCTCCCCACCTCCCCACCTTCCCCCTACTCTTTTGGTACCTCTGTTCCCATTCCTGTTCCTGGGTTCCATGTGTTGTGAGTTTTATTTCTTGCCTATACCTATGTACATGCTCTCGTAGTCTAGATTGGGAGGTGGCACTGGGGTGGTGAGGGCGGGGGATGGGGAGGCCTCCAGGGGACATAGGTATATGCGTGACCCATTAGTGCTCTCCTGCACCCTGATTGACTCACCCACTCCCTGTGACCCCTCTGTAGGGAGGGGTAAGAACAACAGAAACCAGAGGGGAAGGGAGACAGTGGTTTGGTGTGAGAGTTGAAAATAATTAACCATCTGCAATCTATCAAGGGGCCACGAGGGGTGGGAGGCGGGGAGGAGGGAGGTAAAAAAAGAGGAGCTGATCCCAAGGGCTCAATGGAAAGTAAATGTCTCGAAAAGAACTATGGAATATATGTACGAATATGTCGGATACAATTGATGTATGGTTTGTAACATGAATTGTTACATAAAGTGTAGCTCCATTGTCCACAGATGGGCTTTGGGTCTCTCCTCCAACCCCCCTCCATTCTCACCAATGCATTTTTGTTTGTTTGCTTACTATTTGTTGTGAATCTCCTGATGCCCATTGCCCAGTCTCGATGACACCTCACCATCGCACTGGCTGGTGTGCTTCTTCCATGTGGGCTTGTTGCTTCATTGTTCGATGGCCGCTTGTTTAACTTCAAGCCTTTAAGACCCCAGACTCAAGAATTGTTTAACAATCTATTTTGTCAGGGCCTAATTTCCTGTTACAGTTTCTGTCTGTTTCTTGTCCCAACAACTCAGTCACTACTGTAGTTACAAATTTACAAAAGGCGAATAATGGACTATGCTAGTTGGTGAAAGTATAGGAGATACAATATGAATGAAAACTGGATGTATACCTAATTTAGCCACAAAGTTCTTTACAGACATTAACTTTATTTAAAATAACCAGTCCTATCTCCTGTGCTCCTGATGACCACGATGCTTTCTCTAGGACCACTTGTCCAAACATTCTTAAGAGAAGCCAAGTAATTCTTGGCTCAGGTTAGAAATTTTTATCTTTGCCTTTTTTTTTTTTTTTGGCATTTCAAGCAGCAAAAGTTTGACAAAAAGATTTCTTTCGAAAACTGTAAGTGAAAAATTTTAATTGAAAATGGAGTATGGATTTAGGTCTAAAGTCATTCAATTCAGATATGGCAATACATCGACTTTTTTAAGGCTTACTACTCTACTGACTTACAGCTACTCTATAGAACATGGTAGAAATGCCCCTGTGGGTTTCTTCGACTGCAACTGTTTACAGGGGTAGTTAGCCTCATCTTTTCCCCCCCACAGAGCAATTGGTGGTTTTGAAATGCTTATCTTGAGATTAGCAGCGCAAGTTGTAGCCACTACACCATCAGGACACAGTTCCTGGGAAATCATACGTTTTTGAAAGTCACTGTCAGGAAGGTTATTCTGACTCATAGAAACCCTACATAGGACAGAGCAGAATTGCCACTTAGGGTTTCCAGGACTATACATTTTTTATAAGAGCAGACAACTTCATCTTTCTCCTATGAAGAGGCCCATGGTTTGAATTAACCTTGCAATTAGCAATCCGCTACTTATCCCACAGCACCACCTAGGCAATAAGCAGCTAGCGGCAGAGCCCTTAAATCATTACACCACCAGGACCTCTCACAAATCCTGTAGATGCTTGACAAACATCCAGCTTGATTAGAATGATCAGTTTTCAAATACATATGGACGCACATTAATTTTAATTTGGGTTTACCGTTACAAATAATTAATAGCATCTCTATTTTCTTATCAAATCCTCACATCCAAATGCAGTTGGAAATTGCACATACCATGTCCATGATCAAATTTTCATGAAACAGAGCACACAAATTTTAAAGTTACTCAAATTCAATCAAGTTTGTTCTTTAAGATGTGATTTAAAGCGCGGCATACTGAGAAGGTAATTAGAACAATGTGATTGTAGACCTGGAAGAAATCTCAGTCTCCGCCTTTCCGGTTTTCTTCCTGGCATACTTTTGAAACACACACCTGTGATAATCAATAATCCTGTAAGAACCAAGTATTCGCCACCCATTTTCATATCTTTACCTTCTACTGTTTTCTTCTGAAAGGAATGCCTTGATGCGAGATTTTTTCCTGTTGCCCGCACAGCCCATGATCTCCATAAAGTGTTCATCTTTTCACTTAAAATCTTGCTGTGTGTTGATGGGAGATGCTGCTCATGCTATAGTGCCCTTTTTTGGACAAGGAATGAATGCGGTGAGCTCTTTGCCTCTAGAACGAATTCCTTGACATGAATGTCTCTGGGTCAACTCAAATGTCTTTGATCAGACAGGTCGGAAGCTATCCATATATAATGCATGAGAAGCCAATCAATAATATACCAAATGTATAAAGCAGATTGATCATAGATTTGCATTATTTGACCTAGTAATTCAGTGTAGGAAAAATAAGTATAATATAGCATTGTGCTCCATAAACAACATATACTTGAAATTTGGAGATTGGCTGTCAACAATCACAGACTTAATTTTTTAGATACATGTCCTTCTAGAGAGAATACACAGTATATAACGTTATCCCCAAAGAAAAAAAAAGGACTTCAAATATCTGTACCCCCATCTTTTTCTTTTAAAAGGAAAGAAATATATAATTAACAGGACTAAGTAAAACTACAAAATATGATGGTGCTTCAAAAGTTTATAGAAAATTCAATTTTTCCAAGAGCTGCTTTAAAAAGTTATGTTGACACATAAGCTACAATCATAAAATTCAGTAGTTCAATCATATCAAGAAGGGTTGTGCAATCAACATCACAACCAATTTTAAATGATCTTCTTTCTTGTACTCATTGCTATTTGCTCCCCATTTTCCCCCAACATCCCCTGCCATACCCTCAAGAAACCATTCATTACAGAGATTACAATTCAAATCTACAACTGATCGTGTAACAGCCTGCTTCAGAAAATATACCATGGGCATTAATGACCTGCACATCACAAATATAAAGTGCTGTTAGTCGAACCAATTTTATTTCCTGCAAAACAGTATTAAAATTGTTTTATTTAATAAAAACTAAAGAATACACTAAATACAGTGGGTAAGCAGTCAAGCTTCTCCTGATTTACTAAACTGTCCAGGATTTACTAAACCGCCCCAGAATTTACAGGAATATATTCTTGTACAAGTTGCTTATCTTTACCTCCCTATTTTCAGAACTGGGATTTTAACAGTACCTACCTTACTGAGATTCTGAGAAGCTAAGGATGCACCTGAAGTAAATTAAAAAGAGTTATTTCAGCCCTACATTTCTTGTTCTCTAAAGTCCTATAACATTGTCTACATTATTTATTTTACAAGCAAAATCACTATTTGCTTCAGATGTAGATTTGAATTGTAATCTCTGTAATTTATGTGACGTGTTATTTATTTTTCACCTTTGTTTACTTTTAGGTTTGTAGGTGCCATAAGATAGGGCTCACCGCTAACCTACAATTGGTAGTTTGAACACACCGTGCAAGATAGGTCTGCTTATGTTCACAATCACAGCCAAGAAAATCGTGGGGAGCAGTTCTACTCTGATCCACATGGTGTCACTGTGTGTTAGAATCAACTAAATAGCCACTAAAAACAGTGCAAGACATGAAAAAATAATAATTAGTAAATTATCAAAGGTTCATGAGGGAGGGAGGGAGGGAAGGGAAGGGTGGGGGGAAATGAGGAGCTGATACCTAGGGCTCAAGTAGAAAGAAAATACTTTGAAAACGATGATGGCAACATATGTACAAGTGTACTTGAGACAAATGATGTATGTATGGGCTGAGATAAGATTTGCTTGAGCCCCCAATAAAATTATTAAAAAAAACAATCAAACTTCTTTCTATATTGGCTGTAAATTTTTAATTTGAATTTTTAGAAAGTAGGACATTTGATATTCTTATTTCATGGTGCATCTAGCATGAATGCCAATAAAATTTAAGACGTCTTAGTAATAGACATTTGATTTATTCCTGGTTTAATGTAAGTGTTCTATAATTAAATTACTCAATGTTTTGAAGAAGCAAGAAAAACTAAAAATGCAACAGTAATTTAATTTTTTTCATTTAAAATTATTATAATCAACATATATATGAACTCTATAAAAATAAAATCATCAATTATGTAGTTGGTAGTCTTTTATAATGATCATCCAATACCAAGTGTGATAACTAAGCTGTTGTGTTTCGAATAAAAATCTTATGTGTTATATTCACTAATGTAGGGTTTGTTTTAAATTAAGTTTTTTTAGTGGCTAGTTTAATTTTTACCATTGTTTCTTGTTTCAGGGCTTTGAGGACTGCCTTGTATTTGATGAGCTAATGGATAAATTCAATAATGACCTTAGTAAGTAAAACTTCTCAATTGGAGGTGAACTGGCACTAATGTTTAATTGGAGACCTATTTATGATCCCCAGTGGTTACAACCCTATGATGCATATTCACTATTCAGATTTAGAGTCTATGCCACTGTTGTTACTCTTATCAGGCAACTAGCACCCCTGCTGGCAGATATATGTACCTTCCTCTCCCCGCACCTTTTTTTGCTCATCCAACCTTAGTCGCTCCCTCTATCCTGTACCTCCTACAGCGTGTCTCAGCTCTAATGAGCTCCAGCTCTTTTTCGCCCTTTCTCTATCAAAACTTACATCTGTGGAATGATATGACATCTTCACTTCCAATTAATATTACATTTTTAAGAGAATTAAATTATTTTATTGGGGGCTTGTACAACTCTTATCAGAATCCACACTGACATCCATCGTGTCAAGCACTTTTGTACATTTGTTTCCCTCATCATTCTCAAAACATTTGCTTTCTACTTGAGCCCTTGGTATCAGTTCCTAATTTTTCCCTTCCCTCCCTACTACCCCCTCCCCATGAACCCTTGATAATTTATAAATTATTGTTATTTTTCATATTGTGCACCATCCGACATCTCCCTTCACCCACTTTTCTGTTGTCCGTCCCCCAGGGAGGAGCTTATATGTAGATCCTTATAATCTGTTCCCCCTTTTTCCCCCTTTCTCCCTCACCTTCCCTCCACCTTCCCGGTATTGCCACTTTCACCACTGGTCCTGAGGGTTCATTTGTCCTGGATTTCCTGTGTTTCCAGTTCCTATCTGTACCAGTGTACATCCTCTGGTCTAGCCAGATTTGTAAGGTAGAATTGGGATCTTGCTAGTGGGGAGAAGAAGCATTTAAGAACTAGAGGAAAATTGTATGTTTCATCATTGTTACACTGCACCCTGACTGGCTCGGCTCCTCCCTGCGACCCTTGTGCAAGGGGATGTCCAATTGCCCACAGATAGGCCCTGGGTCCCCACTCGCACTCCCTCTCATTCAAAATGTCATGAGTTTTTTGGTCTTTGTTGCATGATACCTGATCTCTTTGATGCCTTGTGATCTCACAGGCTGGTATGCTTCTTCCATGTGGGCTTTGTTATTTCTCAGTTAGATGGCCGCTTGTTTATCTTCACACAAGCCTGTCCTTACACGATCGCAGAAGACAAAGCAGGTGCATAAGCAAATGTGGTGAAGAAAGCTGATGGTGCCCGGCTATCAAAGATATGGAGGCTGGGGTCCTATAGGCTTGAAAATAATACATTTAAAAAATGAAAATAAAAATACAGTTTCAGAAACACACAAGGGTAGTTCCACCCTGTCCTACAGAGTTTCTATGAGTCAGAATCAACTCTATAGCAGTGAGTTTGTTTTGTTTGTTTAAGCTGTAAAATAATAAATTTCTGTTTTGTTACATTAAAAAATCCCTTACATCTGATATTTCCTTTACCTTTTGATTAAAATTGATGAAGCCAAAATGTTAATAATATAAATAGTGAAGTTATAAGATTTTGTCTGGAATTAAATATACACATAAGATTCCTACATTAATATTATATGCATACTATCTATATATTTTATGAATACACATCTATATACAATATACATAATTTCATATATAATATTATGCTAGTCTGAGTAGCCTAGAGAAACAAATCCAGGGAGACTCAAATGTGTACAAGAAAGAGGTTTATATACAAGAGCAATCAATATTGAGAAAGCATCCCAGCCCAGTCCAGATGAAGTCCATAAGTCCCATATTAGCCCATATGTCTGACACCAATCTATAAAGTCCTCTTCAGACTCACAAAACACATGCAATGATGCTGAATGCAGGAAGATCACAGGCCAGTGGGCGGGAAGTCTTTTGGATCCAGTGGTGTTGTAAGAATCTCAGCACTGGCAGGAGTCTTCACGTGGCTTCTCCAGTTCCAGAGGTCTGGCTCCATCAGCCACTCTCTGTGTGTCTTGTCAGGGGGTGAGCATGTCCTGCCTCCAGTGAGCTATTTACCTCCTTAGTGCCTCCAAATGAGGTCATCAAGCTACTAACTGATTGACAGGCTAGGCTCCACCCTTTCACTCTGAATCCTCAAATTGACACCAGATTATGTAACTACCACAAATATCAATACATAATATGTGTATTGTACAAATTATGTATTGTACTTACAGTAAACATATACATAGTTGTACTTATATTAAACATATACATAGTGTGTACATATTTACGGTATTGCTGATGATCAATTAGTGTTAATTCATCTAAAATAAATAACAGACTTACAAATATCAATTCATATATAAATAAATATATACTGTAAGTATAAATGAAATATAAAGATAAATTTATATATAAATAAAAAATAATGAGCTATATTATTTTACTGTATTATTTACATAGTGTTCTATGTAAACTGCACTGATTCATAAGTTATTGGTCATGTAGCATGTTTATCCATAGTTACCAAAGTTTAGAGAGAACATTAGGAGAGAATATGCCATTTGATCTGAACTGAGTAAAATCTAGTGTTTTTTAATAGACTATTTCGGAAAAGAATACATATTATTAACTTGGTCTCTAGGTGTCTGTCTTCCTGAATTCTCACGATTTCGAATTCCTGATGACCATGCAGTTTCAGACTTATCTATGTACAATTACATAGAGGTGAGTAGAGGTGCATTCACACTCTAACAAATGTTCTTTTAGCTTTTCTTTATCTTATCTGCTTCTATGCATGCTACATAAGAGTGAGCCAAGAATGCACATGCATACCCAGGCATGAACAGATTATGAATATATGGCCAGTGGCAATGACTTATACACATATCTGCATTTACATTTCAGAGACATGGAGATGACAGGAGAGACCGTAGATGACAAAGCAGCTTTGCTTTCAATCTTTAATAATTTACAGGCTTAAATGTTAAACCTTTAGTAAAGTTAGTAATACACAAAAAATATATAACTGAAATGTGTTGATATATCTGAAAAATCTAAAAAATATGTTAACTGACTTTTCTACTCTTAATATTATAAGCTGTATACTCAAAGTAGCAATAAATACCCCTTAGATACTGGGGGTGGTGTGAGGAGATCCAAGATTTTCAAGGTGAAACATATTTATTTTTTGAAAACAAGTGCAGTTTGTGTCAGGAACATAAAAGCATCACAAAAGGTGTTTGTATTTACAGTTTTTAAGTAATTGAGTAAAAAAATTTACAAGGTAAATTTAAGGAAGAGAGTAGCTAAATCGTTTCCATCTCTTCTGAAGACCCAAACTTCAGGTTTCAACTAAATAATATTCTATGTACTGAAGAAAGTTCTATGACACAATGAAAACCAACATTGCTGCATCCTGGTTGTGTGCAATCCTTATCCTGAATATGAAGTGAGTCAAGACAAGCATAGCTGTAAGCAGATGCCTTGCTGTCAGGAATAATATTCCAAACTAAAGAGGAACCAACCGAAGGTTCTGAGTTCTTTGAGCTCACACATTATCTGAAGATCTGGTTGAACATACTTTTTGCCGAAAGAATTTTCATATTGTCTCCTCAGCAAAATCACCTTTCCAACAGTTTGTGTGCAGGTGTACATTTTCAAGATGATTATCTCTACCATTGACATTTATGAAAAGAGACTGGGAATGACTGCTATGGAAATACGGATTTATTCAACTAATTTACATTATGCTGTGGCGACTAGAAATGAAGACTAATATATTGTTCAAGGGGGAAAAGGGAATTTTAAGGTATTCTGTAAGACTCTTACATTATTACAGATGCGAGCACATGTCAACTCAAGGTGGTTCATCTTCCAAAAGAACATAGAAAGATGTCTACATGCTCTAATGCCGTCTACCTTTATCCCTCTCTATACAATGGTAAGACCCGATTTTAAGAATTTTCTCCACTTTAATCCTCCATGTAAACATTGTAAATAAAAAGACCTCTTTAAACTTATTTGCAGGTTACCTTTTCCAGAATAAGATACCGTGAAGCATTGCTGAGGTGGCGTTGGCAAAAAAAGGTTGAAACCGATTATAAATTTTGGTCTGATGTATTGGTTGTTATAAATATTATGTTGATTTTAGGCAGATGCAGAAATTATGGGACACCTACTAAATGTTTGCCTTCTAAGTAAAAAACAGTTAAGGTACACAGGAGAAGGGTCTCAGAATGAACAAAGTTAAGAAGATATAAAGAAAGGGTGGGGGAGAGCTTGTGAGACAAGGAATTTGACAAAGAAATGGATGCTAATATTTCTAAATGTTTTACTTTATACTTTGTCGCAGCGGTCACGGAGCTCACCACATTGCCAGGAACACTTTGCACCGTGTCTGAGCAGTGGCTGAATTGTTTGCAGCTTCGACACCGTGCTCTTTGGAGACAGAGCGTTACAACTCTGTCTATCCTGATTTTATTATTTATTTATTTATTGTTTTTAAATGACTGCAAGGAGAGCTAACTGCTAAGGATTCCTTATACAGATAACCAATATGTTCTTGTTAGAAAAGGAGAAGAGCTTCAAGTCTATCCTGAGTTTATTTTTTATTTATTTTTTTATTGTTTTTAAATGACTGCAAGGAAAGCTAACTGCTAAGGATTCCTTATACAGATAACCAATTTGTTCTTGTTAGAAAAGGACAAGAACTTCAAGTTCATCCTTAGAGGTCATGGAAGGAAATGTCTGCTCTGGGTTAAAACCAGAGAGATAATGATATAATCTGTAGTGATTCAAGAGTTAAGTATATGTCGAGATTTGAATCTCTCAGTGACTGAAACATGAGTTCTTGCTGTCTTCACAGGTAATAAACAAAGGTCTCTTTTTCTTTGGCACCCTGATGGCCGTCAGTAGTACCTACCTGCTGGTACGCAACATGCCCTCTCGAACTATGGAGTGCTTAAGAAGACCGTGGAACTGGATAGATTACTTCCAGAATATAGGACATGGCTCAGTACAATTTTAGAGATTCCTCTGTAACCACAATTAAGAATTTAAAATGTGTTTCCAACATATTTAATTCGCTAATGAAAAATTAATGTAGAGATTAATTAATTTGAGATTGCAATTTAATCCAATTTAGACTGTGTGCTAACTGCAATTGTGGGGGAGGGGGGAGACTATTACTTTTTAAGGGACACAGCACACAGCTTCACTGCAATATTACCCTCAGATTAGTTTAAATATAGATATTGAGGTCTCTTTCACTGCTGAATAAAGGAGGACTCAGAGGTCTCAGGGAAGACACCAATCGGGCCTTTTTCTCTAAAGAACATAGTAAACGCAGAATATGATTGACTTGACACCTGAAATTAAGCACCCTACCCTGCCTAACGTGCTAATTGCTCTTTCCATCATCTGGATGGAATTTATTTAACCGCAGTGCTCAAATGCATTTGAAAAAAATCTGAAGTGCAAATGGAAACTTCTCTTTTTGATGGTGGGGGGGATTCAGAGAACTACAAGAGAGATCTATTTCATCTCCCACTTTTCAGACTCCAGTACTACCTTTGAAGATAAGAGAAAGCTGCTAATGCCATAGGAAATGAAGCCTAAGAAAGGAATGTATTCATAAACAGAGTTGAAATAGGACAGACAGCGTTCTTGGAAATAGAAAGTCGTATTTTATTGCATTTCAGACCCTCAGCAATTTATTAATTTGTTTTCCCATTACATACTCCAGCAGAAGTAATCAACTTGATTATTAAAAGTAAATTTATTTTAAAAGTGTATTCTTTAGTTCTTCCTTCAATAGGCTGACCTAGTCGATTAGGACCCCTTCAACAATGATTATTCCTGAAGAGGCACTACTAGTAAGACCGTAATGTAAGACATAACAACCAGGCAAGACTTTTTTTTAAGGTTGTATTACTTTAATGTATTGCCAAAGAATATGTTCCATTTATCAATGCTAAGTCCAAACACTGAGCCTTGGAAAATGGTCTCTATATTAACATTGACCATTAGTTATCCAGTGGATTGGTTGATAAACAATAAAGATTGTCATTTAGAAAATACTTTTATTGGGGGCTCTTACATCTCTTATCACAATCTATACATGTCTGCAGTGGGTCAAGCACATTTGCTCATATGCTGCCATCAGCACTTTCAAAGCATTCTCTTCCCACTTGAGCCCCTGATAGCCGCTCCCTGTTTCTTCCCCCACCCTCCCCTGCCAACTCTCCCTCATGAACCCTTGATAAGTTATAGATTATTTTTTCCATATCTTACATCATAAGATTGAGTCATTTTATCAATAAAGTTCTACACTTAATTTCATCACCTTCCAATTCAGCTTTGTTTGTTTTATTTTGTTACTTTGAACTTCTGACTTCTGTGGCATGTTAAAATTGTTGGGAATTATTCAAAAGTAAGGTTAATTTTACCATGTTTTGATATTGGAAATGAAATAAATATAAAGATAGATATTTATCTGCTATCATTATTTTCACTGTATACATTCTTGACTAATGTTATCACTAACTATATTCCATTATTAACTTGAAGATTTGTGATCCTATTTTCTTTCTCATAAAAATGCTTCATGGTGTCTTCTAAAGCTTTGTCAACAACATTAGTCTGAAGCATCTTTATCAAACTGAGCATACAGCAATAGTCCTTTCTTTCAGAGGTTCATGGAATTGATTTTATTTCTCTAGAGGTATCACCTTCATAAATTTAATTTGGTCAGGTATATGTCATAGCTATTCTGTCAATGTCTCCAACCAGATAATAACTCAAGAATAACTCAGAGAATTCTAATCTGCATGACAAATAGTGTGTGATTACATTCACCTAAATAAAAACTAAATAAAAAAAAAGATACATGAGGACACATGAGGAAGAAAATGAAATTGTTAGTTCACTGCAACACACAAGCATACAAATTTGTTGAAAGAGTAGATCAAGAGAGATTAGATAAAATGTGGCTCTAGCAGCAAATGAAAGTCTTATCTTGATAGATAGAATAGAATATGTAGGAAGTTGATAGGTTGTCAAGAAACATCATTTTTCTCTTATATGAAAACTCTAGATGTGAATGACCTTAGCATCATTCCTCATTTGGTACATTTACAATGTGGAATGATTTCAAAAGAACAATGCTATTATTGCTACAAAAGACTCATCAAAACGAGTTGAAGATTTCTAATGGTACTTTTAACATTTGAGCATATGCTGCTGCAGATGTGCAGTCAAAATAAAACACCGTAACGTTATTGGAAAAACAAAAGAAAGAAAGAAACCGAAGGCAAAGTCCTAGCCCTTCAACAAACAGGTCTAATTTAGGCTATCAATCATACAATCTCTTTAGAACTTCAAGTAGATTTTTTGTTTTTGTTCTATTTTTTACTGACATAAAATTGAGAATCCTTTTGCATTATAACATTTTATGATTCAATCATTATGAAAGCATAAAATGGAGTTGGCAGACAATAATACATATTTAGTTATACAGAAATAGATTTTTTTTCTTTAGAGGGGTTATTAACCCCTATACTGATACATGTGGCACTCAATAGATGTTCATTCACTGAATGGGTAAAAGTTTAATAAATACTTAAGTGACTGGAAGAAGAAAATTAGGCTTTGGAAAAGTATGGCATGAAATATTTTAAAGAGACTACACATATATAATATAAGAATTCTAGTTAGATATGCAACTTTCAAAACAAAGAATCACTTTTCCTATTAAAATTTAAAAATTGACATCCTTTCTTTGGCCGACTATATTTCTAGACAGAAATGTAAAAATAATGCAAAACAATCTTACTTGAATGAAATATTGTTGTTGTGTCATTCGGTTCCATAGAGTCAGGCTCTCCTGAGGTTGCACAGATGGGTAAGGTGCGCAGTTGCTAAGTGACAGTTGAAGTCCATTCAGAGGTTCTTTAGAGAAGAAGTCTAGTGGTCTTCTGAAAAACCAACCATTGAAACCCCTATGGAGCATGCAGTTTTAAATGAACACACATGGGGTCACCATAGTCAACTCCATGGTAGCTGGTCATGAAATATTACAGGCTTAATTTAGATGAATTTCATTTTTGAAGTTGACCCACTTGAGTTGACCCAAACTATGTAGTTAAATCCTTGACAAAATATGTTAGTCTTCCTGCCCCCTACAATGTTTTATTTACTTAAAACAATAGTATTTATGTCACATTTATCAGCCCACATGAATTTTAGTTCTTGGTCAAAATAGTTTCTGTACTCTATTTGTTTCCCAGGAGAATTAACATGAATGGACTATCTTATTGCTACTTTACATGTATATTTTAACCAATTTTCTATTCCATGTGGTACATCCATTTCCCACAATACTATAGACAAAGAAAGGCAACAGAGTACTGCATACTAGCTTCAATTATATATATGTTAGACACCATGATATACTTAGAAATACTCCTTTTGTTAGAAAAAAGGTCTGTGGCTCAGAAGGTCTAAGCAAACAATTGGTGGAGGAAACCAGGACTTTCTGATTCCCCAACCCATAATTTTTGCTTCACACTTCCAAGGTGGAGGTTCAATGGTCTCTTCAGTAAAATAGTTGTAAGCTGTGATAGACGTAGTCCTGGTTTATAGTGGCCCTGTGTAACACACAATGAAACACTGCCCAGTCCTGTGCCATCCTCACAATGGTTATGTTTGACCCCGTTGTTGCAGCCATTGGAAAAATCCATCTTGTAGAGGGTTCTCTTTTTCCCTGTCCCACTACTTTACCAAGAACGATGTCCTTCTTCAGGGAATGGTTTCTTCTGACATGTCCAAAATCTCTGAGATGAAGTCTTGCTTCCTAGCTTCTAAGGAGCATTCTCATAGCACCTCTTCCAAGACAGATTTGCTTATTATTTTTTCAGTCTATGGTAATTAGCACCATAATTCAAATACATTGATTTTTCTTCAGTCTTCCTTATTCAATGTCCAAATTTCACAGACATATGAGGCACTTGAAGATACCATGGCTTGAGTCAGGCACACCTTAGTCCTCAAAGTGACATCCTTGCTTTTCAACACTTGTGCAACAGCTTTAACCAATGCAATGTGATGTTTGATGTGTTGATTGCTGCTTCCATGAGCATTGACAGTGGATCCAAACAAGATAATTTCCTTGCTAACTTCCACCTTTTCTCCATTTACCATGATCTCACCTATTGGTCCAATTGTGAAGATGTTTGCTTTCTTTACATTGTGTTGTAATCCATACTTAAGACTGCAATCTTTGATCTTCATTAGCAAATGCTTCAAGTCTTCCTCCCGTTCAGCAAGCAAGGCTGTGTCATCTGCATATATTCAGTTATTAATAAGTTTCCTCCAATACAGATGTTGCATTCTTCTCCATATAATCCAGCTTCTCATAATATATGGGTGGAGGCACAGGCAGTTGGGTGGAGGTCAGACCAAACCCAAGGAGGTACATGTGAATCCAACATAAAAAAGGGGAAATGGAGAAGCAGGCGGGAGAATGGGTGTGTGGAGAAACTGAGATGATGACATGGGGGGAATAGGGCACTAACCCACCCAGGGGGAGAGTATTGGTTGTGTCTCCATAGAATTAGAACATGCATACAGCCCCCACCATGGCATGCCAAACCAGGAGGGCAATATAACACATGGAAAATGCATGAAAAGACTGGACTACAGGCCTGGCCCCAAGCAGAATCAGCCTGACCCCCACCCTGGAAGTGTGTGCCACAGAGAAGGACACTAGACCTGGTGGAGGAAAGGAACCGACCTACAATACCCAGATGGAAGCAAACCAAGAAGGAAAACAAGAAAGGGGCAGTAGGACTAGGGCTAAGGGGGAAAAGAGTAAAAAAGAAAGGGACAGTCAGCCTAGACACACCAAGCCCAGAGGATGAGGTTCCTGCATGGAGCTGCTAAGGCACAGAGAGGACTGTGGGACTACGAAGAACTCAAGACATGTTGCCCCCTAACTGGAGCATATGGAGACAAGGGACAGTAGCGGGGACACACAGCAGGGAGACAGTGTGGGAATGGAGCATAACAGATCAGCAATTGGAGTAAAGCTGAGCCACAGAGCCCCTGAGGAGCCCCAAGAATGGACTTCCAGCTAGGAGGCCAACCCCCAGATCTCTCTCAGGACAAGCAGGGAGGGTTTCATGGGGGCCAGTAAACAGACCTGGACATATGTAGGG